TACTTTATTTTAAATCGTTTACATTTAGCTCTATCAAATTTTGCCTTCCTGGTCTTTTTTCTTTCTGGTAACTTAGTAAATTCTGTTTTTAAAGGTGCTATGTAAATAAAGTTGTTGTTTTTGTTGTTGTTGTTATTACCATATCATTATTATTATTATTTCTTATACAGTCACTTATTGTACGTTTTCTCATCTTTAATTAACATTTCTTGTAGAAATCAGTTTTCATTTGACATGAAAGAGTCTTTTTTAAATTCTTGTCTGAAATGCCAAATTAAATTAACCATAATTCCACAGTGGAGCATACCCACTGTTTGGATAACTTTTAGCATATAGTCACACAAGCGTGTGCATCTGCATTTTGATCTCCATGACCCTTCTACCGCTCATAGTGTGTGCATGTGTGCATGGGTGTGTGTTTACCGTGGTGATAGGGTAGAGGGGGTTCTGTATGGACAGCAAGAGGACCTTGTTGCCACTGTTGGGGTTGTCAGCATTGGTTGGCCTGGTGATTCTCTTGGACGTGGAGTAATTAAAGTATGCCTGTTGGCCTGACAAACATATGGATGAAAAGATGAACACATAAAGCATGTTACATACAAGCATGTGTTACCAATAAATGTGCAGTCATCAGTAAGTCTTGACAGTGAAAAAGCTGGGAATCAAACCTGCGATGTATACAGGTTCCTTTGCTCCACAGGACACACACAGGTCAGCGCTCTCTACTGCAGAGAACTCCACCAAGGCCTGACGCTTGAATGGCATCATCATCACATAACTGAGTACACACACATAAACACGGAGATCAGACATACACAAGCTGTTCATTGAAATATTTTCCACCTAACGGGCCTTTGGATGTGTCAGAGCTCCTTCAGTGTTTTAATACTTAGTACTTTATTCTCAGCAAATCTCAATGGAAATGTGATTCTGTCACCTTTGAGGCAAGGGCATAGGCCTTTTCATCTCCAAGGAGGAAATAAAGGAGGTCACTACTTTCTTTTAATGAAACAAAATAAAGCTCAAAATTATGTGAGAATGAAGGTGTTTGACATGTGTGTGTGTGTGTGTGTGTGTGTGTGTGTGTGTGTTCACAGCATGCTTTTTGCACCAAATTTGAATAATGATTCTATACATGTAATTTTTATATGTCAAACAGAAGTACCGCTCCCTGCCTACTTCCCTTCTCAAGAACTCTCACCAATTCCCCTGTTGAGCTGTCAAAATACCAGCTCCATCCAGGTGAAAGCAAGGTTAATAAATACTGCACAATACATACACTAACACTACTGAAGCGCACTGCAGGTTATTTATGCAGTTCATTTTTTAATTAAGGTGTCTCACAATAAATGTCTATTCAGGTTCAAATATTCAGGTTGTTGGAATACTAGTAGTTTGGTCCTGAGTTAATATAAAGAACACCAGAAAAAGTGCTGAGTGAGGTGCCTGTGGGAAATGCAAAAATGGATTCAATTTGATTCAAGTTTAATGTGATTTTTTACTGATGGTTTAGTCTGGGAGGTTTTATTGATGATGATGATGATGGTGATATAGGCATTTACTGTGTATTCATTGATGTTGGTATTATGTCACCTACCTCTCTGCAACACTGCATATTTGGTATCGTCGCCTTTATTACAGTGACAATAATTTGAATTTGTTCTACCGCTATTCACATTTTATAAAGAAATATAGGTCGAAAAAAGGTGGTTTGGTTTCAATGAACTACAAACCATTTGGTTCTGTGGTGTTGCACAGTCGTGCTTTTACTGCTGCATGTAAAGTTGGAATAATTTTTGTATTTTTTTTACCTCGTCTCATGGAATGATTGTGACAATGTGATTTATTCTTGATAGATAAAGTGTATATCTTCTCAAAACTTTATTGATATCGCAACATACATACAATACATATTACAGTAAAAATTAAACCACAATTAACTTTTGCAAACTGTGTATTCTGTGGTGATGTGAGTTTTTGTGCCTGTAGAATGGTTTTTATTGTGTTTTGTTTTTGTGGTTGCTGTGCTGACTGCTTTTCAGGCTGGACGGGGCGTTCCTGATTGAGAGAGCATTCACTCACACTCCTCCGCACCTGACGCAGATACACTATCAGCGCTGGATAAAGCCTGCCTACACCTGTGCTCCAGTGCCAGTGGATTGATCTCCCCAGTGGGGTAACAAGCCAGCAGTGCTCAGTGAACTTAGGGCTTTGCTGAAACCTTGCTTTCTGTCATGTTTGTTTCTCGTCTTCGCTTGCCAGAACCTCTCCAATGGATCGCCGCCTTCCCAACTCAGCTCAGCCTGAAGAACCAGCCTCTGTCGTCTCGCCTCCAAGCTTCCCCAGGAAACTTCCCAGGATTTCCCTCACCCCCTTGGCTACCCTCACAAGCTCCCCGGTGTCCCTTGGCTCCCTGCTGTTATTCACAATAAATTCCTCTTGTTGTCACTCACTAACTTGGAGTTGCATTTTTGGATCCAGCCTTTGACAGAACCCTCACACATTCAGGCTTAAACTAAATTGGGGGTATTGGTTTCGTCATATAACAGGAAACACATATTCGAGGGGATTTCATGCATAAGAATGTCCAATATTTTTCTTTCAAACGTCCCTCAGTCACTAATAATGAGTCTGGCCACCCCTGACACTGATCAATGCGTTAGGACATCGTGACATACTGTCCACAAGCTTGCTGATGGTGTCAATGGGCAGGACGTTCCACTCTTCAGTCAGATCTTGAAGTCAGAATTGGTTTCGCCTGGTAACTGGAACTCAGTATGTAATCACTGAACCTGGTCAAAGTGATTGCTGATGTGTATAAATAGAAATGAAAAGAGGAATGTGTCTAAAAACAAAAATTATTCCAACTTTATAGGCAGCTGTGTATTTCTCCAAAATAATCTTTGGCAAGGTTCAGAGACTGCCTAAAATCCAGACAATGGCTAATTGTATTGCTGTCACATAATCCATGCTGGATAAAAGTCAGTGTGTCAGCTGCTGAACATAAATCATTTTTTATTTTTG